CCCCAAAACCCCAAAACCCCAAAACCCCAAAACCCCTAGGTAAATTCCTATATTGAAAATATTTATTCATAAGTACTGAGTACTTTCTTGCCCTTAACTATCGGTAAGGGTGTGCTACTATTCTCGATACTACAGAGTCATATGGGCTTACTTACATATATGAAGGAGTGCCAGTATAATTGAGCTTTATCAACTGAGACATTTTATTGGCAGTGGTACAGACTCCCAGAGGGAGCCTCCCTGTTTTTGCCCCATAAGCGTTATGGTGTACGTCAGAGAAGGGCTATAGATAATTATTGTAGTTTAAAAATTTTGCATGGGAAAATTTAGAGTAAGGTTAAGAGCTTACTTGGGTTTTCTCAGCGAATATTGGCCGAATTGAGTGATATGAATGAATCATTGTGAAGGGAGACGGGCTCTGGCTATATAGAATTTGAGGATGAAGACGGGTATCTTAGAAATGAGTAAAGACTTAGGCTTACTTATCAAAATTTAGTCGTTTTATTGTACTTTGAGATCGTCTTTTTAAAGTTTTTTGGCTTCTTTCATTTTGATTCTTGTCAAAATTGATATGAAGCTTCTTTGTGTTATTAATTCAGACCCAAATTGGATAGATTCTTGGTATCTCTAGGGCTATTTTATTCCAAATATCCTATTAACAGACTTTGATCTTGTCGACTTATCTTTCTTGGAATCTGCTATTTGGCCAATTCAAAGCTGGTCTCTCTTAATATTTATTTTCTTTTTCTGCTTTATTAAGGACTTAGCTTACGTAACTCTTCCTTATGATCTTAGCGAGGAACCCTCTGTGGCTACTCCCCCTACATGATTAGTCAGCAGCCTTACTGCTTGGCTTTGAGAGGCTCCAGCCTGCTCATGGCATTATTTTAGCATCCTTCGAAGTTTTTCATTCCTGAAATTCCCTGAAGCGATTTCTTGTTTGAAGCTCCTTCGGAGCTTATCAGCTAGATTATTGGTCAGTTTGACTAAGAATAGAATTTTGACTGGGAACTAGAGATCTGAGATTGATGATGGGTGATTTTTGGTGTTTACCTGGACTTTTGTGGGTGGATTTTGATGGACTGAATTGCTTCTGGTGGTAATAGTGTGGCTCTAACGAAGACCCCCAAAAATCTGTTCAAGATCCCTCTGGATCTACTTGCTTTAATTTCTCATTCATCAGCATCTGTACATTCCTTTACCAAAATTAACCTTCTGACTTACTTTAGAATAAACGGAGACTTATGAGCTTCAAGGTCGATTCTAGCAGAAGGGGATGAACAATTTTGGCTGTAATTGCTCGATTTCATATTTTATTAAATTGTAATTGTAAGGGGTTTTGGGGTTTTGGGGTTTTGGGGG